GTCTTGTCAAGTTGCCCAGGTGGGTCTCGAACCCGCGGGCTCAGGCAATTCACTCACCTCGGCCTCCCAAAGCGTGGGATTACAAGTTGAGCCACCGAGCCCGGCCAGGACTAGTGTTTTTGTTTTGTTTTGTTCATTGTAGAGATGAGGTCTCACCAAATTGCCCAGGCTAGTCTCCAACCTGTGAGTTCAATCCTCTCACCTCAGCCTCCCAAAGCGCTGGGATTATAGTTGTGAGCCACCACACCTGGCCTGGACTAGTATATTAACTAAGAAAGTAAGTATTGGGATGAGGCTGGGCATGATGGCTCACACCTGCAATCCCAGCACCACTTTGGGAGGCTCAGGAGAGAGGATTGCTTGAGCCCCCGAGTCCGAGACCAGCCTAGAAAATATAGCAAAACCTTGTCTCTGCAAAAAATTTTTTAAAAAGTTAGCCAGGCATGGGGGTGCATGCTGTAGCCCCAGCCATTCGGGAGACTGAGGCAGAAGGATCACCTGAGCCCAGGTCAAGGCTGTGGAACTGTGACTGTGCAACTGCACTCCAGCCTGGGAGACAAAGCGAGATTCTAAAAAAAAGAAAAAAGAAAACTTCTCTCATTATATATACATATGATGAAAGAATGTCTACTTCTAAGCTGGGCTCAGTGGCTTAGCCTGTAATCCCACGCCTTTGGGAGGCTGAGGTGAGTGGATTGCCTGAGCCCGCGGGTTCGAGACTCCCCTGGGCAACTTGGCGAGACCCCCATCTCTACAATATATCAAAAACTTAGCCAGGTGTGGTAGCACGTGCCTGTAGTTCCAGCTACTTGCAAGGCTGAGGCGGAAGGATCGCCGGAGCCCAGCAGGTCGAGGCTGCGGTGGCTGGGAGCGGCCACTGCACTCCAGTCTGGGTGACAGAGTGAGACTCCAACTCAAAAAAAAAAAGAATGTCTACTTCCACCTTGAGCTCAGACCTGAGCTAAAGCACAGTAAAATGATATGGCCGGGTGTGGTGGCTTAGCCTGTAATCTCAGCACTTTGGGAGGCTGAGGTGAGGATTGCCTGAGGCTGGGGTTTCAAAACTAGCCTGGGCAAGTTGGTAAGACCTTGTCTCTACAATAAATCACAAAAACTAGCCAGGCGTGGTGGCATGCGCCTGTAGTCTCAGCTACTTGGAAGGTTGAAGCAGATCAATTAAGCCCAGCAGGCCGAGGCTGCGGTGGCCGTGAATGTGCCACTGCTCTCCAGCCTGGGTGACAAGAGTGGCTGCAACTCAATAAAAAAAAAAAAAAAAATCAAGACACTAGACTTAGTGTGGTGGCTCACACCTCTCATCTCAGCACTTTTGGAAGCCAAGGTAGGAGGATCACTTGAGTACAGCAGTTCACGGTTGCAGTAAGCCATTGCACTACAGCCAGAAAGAGCAAGACCCTCTCTCTAAAAATAAGACACTGGTCAGGCACGGTGGCTCAGCCTGTAATCCCAGCACTTTGGGAGGCTGAGGTGAGAGGATTGCCTCAGCCCAGGGGCTCGAGACCAGCCTGGGCAACTTGGTGAGACCTTGTCTCTCCAATAAATGACAAAAAACTAGCCAGTCGTGGTGCATGTGTCTGTAGTTCCAGCTACTTAGAAGGCTGAGGTGGAAGGATCGCCCAAGCCCAACAGGTCAATGCTGCAGTGGCTGAGTGTGCCACTGCACTCCAGCCTGGGCAACAGAGTGAGACTCCAACTCAAAATAAGTATAAAGACACTGGTGGGCATCTCATGATGTCACCCCAAGAACACGTCAACAGAAAATATGGGGGACTGAGAGTCACAAGTGGCAGTGCATGTGCACACGTTATTGTGGCAGAGGAGCCAGGCAGCAAAATAAGCTGAACTCCAACAGGCCAAATGAAGGTCTCACGCCTTTAGAACTTGGCTAGGTCAACTAATAGCCCTGTAACTGGGTCAGTGGTTGGCAGCCTGTACCGCAGTGTTGAAAGAGCTTAGTTTACCTCTCTAGATTGTCCTTCGTAGGTTTCCTTCTGCCTATGCATCTTTTTCAGCACCGTACACTTACACTCAAATTCTAAGAAATCAAGTTGTCTTGACCAGACCTTTGAGTTGGGGGTCTCACTCTGCCATTCAGGCTGGAGTGTAGTGGGATGTAAGCAGTTTACCACCTCAACCTCCTGGAATTAGGCAATCTTTCCACTTCAGCCTCCCAGGTATCCGGGACTACAAGCATGCACCACCATGCTCAGTTTTTGCAGAAAAGAGGTTTATGTTGTTGAGGCTTTGAGCAGATCTTGATACAGGAGAGTCAGGTTTACCTCATGAAGGGGATTTAGGCCACCAGACAAGGTCTCACTGGGCAGGGTGACTCACGCCTGTAATACCAGCACTTTGGGAGGTGGAAGCAAGAGAAACACCCAAGTCCAGGGGTTTGAGACCAACCTGGTAAACTTGGCAAAATCTCTACAAATTAGCTAGGTGTAGTGGCAAGCACTGGTGGCTCCAGGTACGTGGAAGGCTGAGGTAGGATCACTTGGGCCCAGCAGGTCGAGGCTGTGGTGGCCTTGAGCGTGCTGCACTCCGGTCTGGGCAAGACTCCTACTCAAATACAAAAAAAAAACCCAAGCTCTTCATAACGTTATAAAGGCCAGGAAGAGAATGTATTCTAGTAGTTGTAGTAACTAGTCATTGAAGCTGGTGAGCTTTACTTTCTGCGCCAGGAACTAACCTTTCTGGCCCACTGGCTTCCTCAGATAGATTCCAACTATAATCTGCACTCAACACAGATGTTGCAGGACTGCAGCCAGAAGACCCTTCCTCCTGAAGCTTAAAGCCCGACACCATACCCCTAAAAAAACCCCAGCACGATTTTTTTCAGACGGGAAAATACTATCTAAAAAGTAAATGAGGCCAGGCTTGGTGTCTCAGTCTCTAATCCCAGTACTCTGGGAGGCTGAAGCAAACTTACTCAACAGTATTTGAGTCAGTCTCACCCTATCACCTAGGCTGGAGTGCAGTGGCATGCTCACAGCCATTGCAGCCTTGGCCTGCTGGGTCCAGGTGAACCTTCTGCCTCAGGCTTCCAAGTAGCTGGAAATACAGGAGGAATGTCACATGCCTACTTTTTTGTAGATGCGGTCTCACCAAGTTGCCCAGGCTGGTCTTGAACCCCTGTACTCAGGCAATCCTCTCGCCTTGGCCTCCCAAAGTGCTGCAATTACAGGCTTGAAGCACTGTACCCACAAGTTCTTTTTGAGTTGGAGTCACTCTGTTGCCCACACTGGAGTGCAGTGGCTGCTCCAGGCCATCAGTTTTAACGTGCTGGGCTCCCGATCCTTCTGCCTCAGCCTTCAAGTATCTGGAACCACAGGCATGTGCTACCACACCCAGCAAATTTTTTGATTTATTGTAGAGATGCCTTGCCAAGTTGCCCAGGCGGGTCTCGGACCCGCGGGCTCAGGCAATCCACTCACCTCCGCCTCCCAAAGGTGCGGGATTACAGGCTGAGTCACCAAGCCCAGCTTGCAACAGTACTTTTAAAGTGACTAAAAAAGCTATTAAAGACTTAGCTCATTATCACCAAATACTGATGATCTGATACCTCTAAAAGCATGTTACATTGCCCACTGCTGTTAAAACACTGGTCCAGCCTGGTTATCTCTTCCTGTGCTAGCTTATTCTTTTCTGCCCTTGACTACACTTCCATGTTCCACTCAGCTTTTCTAAGACATTGGGGTCTGGAAAGCAAAATATTGGCAGTGTGCTGGCTTCACGACTGTAATCCCAGCACTGGGAGGCCAAGGCAAGACTGCCCGAGCCCAAGAGTTTGAAACCCATTTGGGTTACATGGCAAGGCACCCCTACAACAAATACTGTATCCCAAGCTACTTGGAAAGCTGAAGTGGAAGGATTGCCTGAGTCCAGCAGATCCAAGTCTGTGGTAGCTGTGATCTCCAGCCTAGGCAAGAGTGAGACTCCAGCTCAATGCATGCATACATACATACATATAAATACTATGTGGACTAAAGCAAACTTACCTATGTTCTTAGAATTAGGTCATCTGTTCTTGCTTAAAGTAAGACCTATGTCAACACCCTAACCCAAACAAGGACAGACAATTGTTACTTAGTTTTTATTTCTCTGCAATCCAACTAGACGTGGAAGGGAATAAGGAAAATATGGAACCCAAAGAACCGTAGCGAGAGCACAAAGATTATAGGGATACTGCGAGCAAACGGGATGGAGGGGGTGCTCTCCTGAGCTACAGAAGGAATGATCTGGTAATTTAAGATAAAACAAGTCAAATTTATTAGAGTTGTCCACAGTCAGCAATGGTGATCTTCTTGCTGGTCTTGCCATTCTTGGACCCAAAGCCCTCCATGGCTTGTACAACATTCATGCCCTCTTTCACCTTGCCAAAAACCACATGCTTGCCATCCAACCTGGAAAAATAAGAACAATCACTACTACTAGTACCGCAGATGAACAGCAGCCTGCATGAACTGTGCACTAGCCTTCTGTACTAGGCAAACAGGATCATCTGCCTAAAAGATAACAGCAACACCAGTTTACTTACTATGAGGCAATCTCAAAAAGGAGACCCCTCAGATTCTCCAATTGCCTTTACAGGTTGTACATTTCATATAATAGGCCCCCTTAAAAAGCACCAATCACAGAAAAGTAGCACTCTTAACTGAACCACTGAGCTAAGTGCCCAGTCTTACAGTCTTCTGTAACACATTAGCTAAATTTGTATGCTCTCCCATCACCTCACAGAAATGAAAATATCAGGGAAAAGGTTGGAAAAAAAAAATAACTAATGTTTATTCCCTCATTATTTTATTTTGGTTGCTTTCTATCCTTACCACTCAGTCTTAGTAGTGCAGATGAAAAACTGGGAACCGTTTGTGTTGGGTCCAGCATTTGCCATGGACAAGATGCCGGGACCTGTATGCTTCAAGATGAAGTTCTCATCATCAAATTTCTCCCCATAGATGGACTTGCCGCCAGTGCCATTATGGCGTGTAAAGTCACCACCCTGTGAACACATTAAGAACCTGTCATTTTTGGCAATACACCACAAAGCATGCCAAGACTGCAAGGCTGAAACTTTAAAACCAAGTTCAAACTGAGTAGAAGGATTAAGTGGAAACAAAATGGAAGAGTAACAGCTCAGATATATGTGTTCTCAAATATCCTGGCTCAATCCCTTATCAAGTGAGCAACCCGAGCAAAACCCAAGCAAAATATATTATTTCATACCTGGCACATAAACCCTGGAATAATTCTGTGAAAGCAGGAACCCTTATAACCAAATCCTTTCTCTCCAGTGCTCAGAGCACGAAAGTTTTCTGTTAAAAAAAAATAGTAATAAAGAATATGTATATATATATACACACAGACACTCTAGTTGACACAACTGCAATAAATACCTTTGTTAAACTTAGAAAAGATGGAACCAACCTGCTGTCTTTGGAACTTTGTCTGCAAACAGCTGTAACAGAAAATGACAGTTAACACCTGTTTACATATTTTGTTGTTGCTGAGGTCTTTAGGGTCTCCTAAATTATAAATTCATTTTCTCACTAAGAGAGAATGCTTCTTCAGTAATTGCTTGGAATCACAAATAAGAACTGCTCCTTGACAGTCTCAAGGTCCTATCCGGTTGGGCTGAGAAACATGAGACCCAAAGGCAATGCCAAAAATGCAGATCCAGTAATGACTTAAATAGTGAGAGACTTCTAAAAACCAACTTACAACTTCTAGCACATCACACCTACTTCTCAACAGATATACGGCTTCTCAAATGAACACCCCCCCTCCACAATTTCAGCTGAAACCTAAGGACAAAATTCTAAGCAATAGGATGCACTGCTGCACCATCAGGGGTAATAGCTGTTGTTTTAGTCATCGGTAATGAAAATGCTACTACCTCCACACATACCTTTATGAATTAGATGAGCAGTCACTTCTAGGTTTCCAGTGCATCTGCTTTGAACCTTTCCTGAATACATACATTGTGGCTAGAGATGAAGCTTAAACACCAAAGCTAAACATTCACAAGCCCTTTGATAAAGACAGCTTGTTTCAAAGTTATCATCTTCCTAACTAGAGATGTGACTAAATCAACTATGAACACTCTCGTACATTTCTCTTACAAGAACGTGCCTTTGAAACATTATCGTGTGCCAGAGCTTTGCAGTCCGTCTACCTTTTCGATGACTACAGCTTCCCCCTAAGTCCCCACGGGCAGCTGCACCTCCATGCTCACCAAGGCCTGCAGGAACACCCATCTCATTTCCGTCAAGCTCTCTGGCTAACCTGAGACTAACCTGGGTGCCCAACGTTAGGCGCCGGCCAAGTTTCCACAAGGGCCTTTGCTAATTATCATCTCTGACTGCAGATTAAAAGCGGGGTGTAGACGGATTAGGATGCTATGTCTGCCCGAGTGTTCAGGTGCCTACTATGTCCTAAGGCACCGTGGACAGGGCGGGCAACTCGGAACCCCCCCCTCCATGAAGACTGCAGAAGGGAAACCCCAGTTTTGGAGTCCAGATCTGAAACCCTAACAACCACGGGCGACTTTTCGAGACGTGGTTGAAGAGAATAAAAACACGAACATTCTCTCTCTCCACCCACATTCATCAGGACAGAATCGCACGTGAAGGAAACACGGCAGGTGCACACATTCTCCTGTAACTACTAACTGGCCTTTCAGCGCTCACTTAACGCCCTCAAAACCAGGCCATGAATCGGACAATCACTAGCGGTCCATACCGGTCACAAGAGGCCTGCCCCGCGGCCAGTCCCGACCTGCCCGTTAGGCAGAGGGACAGTCGGGAGGGGCTCGGGAGCGCCTCCCGCGCCGGCGCCGTCACTGCAGTGGAAGGCGGTCCTTGGGCACCAGCAAGACCGGGCCCGTGTTCACATTTCCGCTTGGGGGTGGGGGGCCCGCAGGGCTATTTGGGGCTACTCTCAGTAAACGTCCCCATCTTAGCCAGCCGGAGAAGCCTCCGGTCACCATCAACCACGTTCCCGTAACAGAGCCCGTGTTTTTAACACGGCCCCCCAGAAGACCAACACGGACGGGCGCGCACCGCGCCTCGGTCCTTCGGGCCCTCAGGCAACAGCTCCCTGGCTCGGGGCCAGACGCACCCCAGAGCGGCCTGCGGCTCTCGAGACGGAGCTTCCCAGGAAGGAGGGGAGAGCCGCTCGCCAGCGCGCTTCCGACTCCGATCTGCAGCGCCAGGCCGAGCTAGGGCGGGGCCCAACGGCTGGCAGGGCGCGGGCAGGAGCGCGGCCG